AAAAAAAATTGAATAGTAGGGTATTTTTATGTGTGTATTTTTTAGTTTATGAAAATCAATATTGATATTGCTTTTTTAATTTAATTTTTACAGTTTAACTGCATCACTATTTGGTCGAATTTGTAAATTGTGGAAAACTACATCACGAAATAAAGTAGTTAGTTCTATGTTATTTGAATCATTCAAAGGAAATGCATCAACTCGTTATGATATTGAAAATGAGAACATAGCAAAAGAACAGTTAGAAAAAGTGATCGAAAAAGAAATTCTTCCGGTAGGACTAATAATAGATAAGAACCAACCCTTTTTAGCTGTATCGTCGGATGGATTGAGTTAGATGCATTATTAGAAATAAAATGTCCAGCAAACGCTAAAGATTTTATCCCAGAAAATGCAATAAAAATAAAAAAATTGAAAGTTGTGCCATCAAAAATGAAAATCTTTTTCTAAACAGATATGATAACTATCATCAAATACAGGGCCAACTTCATGTAATTAACAGGATGTGTATTATTATTTTTGCCTATGGACACCAAAAGGTAGTTGTATATTTATTAATTACAATAATTTATTAATATTTTCATAATATTGTAAGAATAATTTTATTGTTAATTAGGTCTTTTATCCGAAAAAATTTAAAGAGACGATCATTTTTGGAAAACCATCATGTAAGCCAAATTAAAAGCATTTTATATGGATTATATTTTAAAAGAGTTAATAAAAGATGAATTAAAAAAATATTAAAAAAGGTTTATTTATTTTTTAACAATTTCCAGTCCATTGGGTCCATTTGGATACATATTGTATTCTTAAATGTTATTCCAATACAAATAGTTCGAAGACTCCAAATGGACCCATTAAATACAAACAATTTTATGTTTTTATCGTATTTATTATGATAAGAACAAAATTTATTTTTTTCGAAAAATTTGATAAATCATATTAAATTAAATTTTCATTATTTTTTAGATTTATAAATTTTATTTGATTTCTAAACAAATAAAGATTCTCTACAAATACTTCGTTTTATTTTTATTTTACGTATTGACCTTAAATTTTTAGTTAATTTGAGTGTATCCATTTGGACCCATCGTTGAAAAAAAAATGGATAATTTAGACGAAGACCAAATTATTGTTTTGTTGGAAGGAGATATTTCTGATCTTGATATTGAATTCTCAGATGATGAAAATAATATTTAAGTAAATAATTTAGATAATCCCTCAGTTGATTTGAACGTTGATTTTAATGCTAGCTTAGGTGACAATTTTGAAAATAATAATGACTTAGAACTGTTAGAACGTAATGAAAATCAATTATATTTTGAACAAATTTTACCTCAAAAACAGTCATATTTTTCTAGTGATGATGATTCTGATGTTCCTTTATCTGTTCGTTATTATAAATATCGAAAATCATTACCTAAATGGATTAAAAAATATTTATTGACTTCGTTAACACTGGTTTTGACAATTTTTTTACGCGTAACGATAACGATTTAACTCCTTATAATTATTTAAAAAAATTTATTGATTTAAAAATACTAGAAAAAAAAGGTTAGTTTATATAAAGGCTAATTTATATTCTACCCAAAAAACAAGTTCTTCAATTAATACAACAGTATTAGAAATGGAAACTTTTATTGGTATTCATATATATTCTGGAATAGTAAAAATGCCCAGCTATCGTATGTATTAGTCAGATTGCACAAGGTTTGATATAATTGCTAATGCTATGTCGCGTAATCGTTTTGAAAAATTACGAAATAATTTTCACCTAAACGATAATCAAAATTTATGTCCACGTAATCATATAAATTATGATAAGTTGTTTAAAATAAGACCTTTGACCCTGCCCCAGGCCCACCCGTAGATGAGGATCAGCTTGAGGAGCGCTTAGTAGGGGTACCCACTTCACTACCCACCAATACTACTAACCCTCCCGCTGATAACATCTTCACCACAATCGAAACGTTCGACGTACTTGCCGACGTCCCGTTTTCCACCACAACACTCGCGTCTTGGCAATCCAACGATCCCCAGACGCGAGACATCATCAACACAATTAAGTCGGACACTCCTGCACGTAACACCAGAAGCGCCACGAATGATACAGACACTTTTGTCCTATCGGATGGCCTCCTGCGGCAAAACGTCAAGGGTCACTTATCAATCGTGATACCCAAAACCCAATCCCAACAGGTGATCTGGAGGTATTACGACCACATCACGGCTAGTCACCCAGGGTGGAAGGAAACTTACCGGGCAGTCAGGGACCGTTTCTATTGGAAGGGGCTCAAAAACGACGTGAGGCTGTATGTCAAGTCATGTCACATATGTGCATGTACTAAACCACTCAACTCACGGTCGAATAACCCCACCAACTCCAGGAAACCCCGACACCTCTGGTAGGTTATCAGTATAGATTTAATGGGACCCTATCCTCGCACGAATAAAGGAAAAACCTATATCTTGGTAGCCACCGACTGCTTCAGTAGATGGACCGAGGCATACCCGCTCAGAACAGCCACTACTAAAAACATTACCGAAACGCTCAAACGAGAATTTTTCTCACGTTTCGGCTACCCGCGCGTGTGTCTTAGTGACAACGGCCCCCAGTTCGTGTCAAACGACATGCTTAGCGCGATTGAACGATGGGGGGTGGAAGGTTGGACCACCCCAACCTATCACCCAAGAGCCAACCCGGTCGAGCGCCGCAATCAGGACTTAAAGAAAGGACTACGCATGGCACTCACCAACGGCAAACACACCACCTGGGACACGAAGTTAGCCCCCATTTTATTTGCTATTCGAAACCGGCGCAATGTACAGACAGGATATCCACCATCGGTGTGAGTACTCGGACGCGAATGCAAAAGACCCGAAGATTGGACCCTACAATCTGAATCACATACGCAGGTCGAACCAATAAACAGGGATAGACTTAAGCGGGAGGTAGAAATCACAGACAGACACAACCGGGACATAGTGGCCGAGAAATGCAAATTCTCGGAGGGAGATATGGTACTATATAAGGCCCACCACTTGTTCAAGGCGCACAAGGGATTTCATGCGGGATTCGCACCGAAATGGTGGGGCCCCGTAAGGCTGGACAAGCGGGTTGATAAAGGAGTTTTCCTAACCGATCAGCTACCGCCGAGGAAAATCCACGTGTCCTGCCTAAAACGCGCACACCATTAATTACACACACGATTGCGAGTTTTTCAGCATCACCTCCAGCCACCGTCAACAACCAGCAATGGACACCTCCAAGGTTGTGGAGATGCTGGAAAAAGTCAAGGAGGCGGTCACGGTGCAAGGATCGATGGGAAACTGTCGCACAGCGGACGACGTCCGGAAGGCGGGAGTCGCTCAACTGCGGGCTGAGCCACTACTCTGGGCAGCTTACTGTCGGGGGTAAGCGGACCGGACCACCGACTTGGTGAGGTCCCTCGGCTCCTCGGCGGCGAGATCACCGGCCACTCCATCAACGCCAAAACTACCGCGCCCGTCGACCGGGTCCCAACCACCATGGGCGCCGACTATTGGGGTGCTGCGGTGCTCGAGCACCCCATGGTTCATTTCATGGGGTGCAGAGCACCCCATGAAATAAATAAAAAAAATAAATAGTAAATACCTTAATATTATACATGTTTAGAAATATAAATATAAATTATCATTTTAATTACCTATTTAATATATGTTTTGGGTTTTTCGCTATTTTGGTCGACAGACGACGACTGCGGTCTGCGACGATAACGATTAACGATATTCCATAGCCTCGATGGTACGATGTACGTAATGTAGGTATAGTGTGTGTAAAGTGTAGACGTGTAGTAAATACACAGTAATTAGTCTGCGACTTGCGTTCGTTCGGCGCGTTGTTCCGTAGTTATATTTGTATGTACATTTTACGTTTTACGTATGTGGTATGTTACAGTTTAGATTATAATATAGTTCAATTATTTTATATATTTAAAAACGTCAAGATGGATAAGTGGTTAATAAAAAAATCAGTTCAATCTAATGAGGGCAATGAGGCTATAAACAGTTCTACTTCTAACTTAAAAGTTGAATCTAATAGTGGAGATTCGAAACCTGTTGAAAATGGAAAATCAAGGAGTTATCAGGAAAAATGGCAACAATTATATCCATGGTTGTTATATGATCCCGTGAAAGAAAAAGTGTTCTGTTCGATTTGTAAGACTGCTGATGAAAACCAAATTAATCTTCCTGTATTTTCTGTGACTGATCAAAATTCTAAAAAGGCATTTGTAGTTGATGGGTTTTCTGCGTGGAATAAAGCACTACAAAGGTTCAAATCTCACAAAGGTATGATTATTTTACTTATTTTACAACACTTTTTTAAATATAAGTTAAAGGATTTATTTATTTATTTTATAAATTAACGCCAATCGGCTTTTAAAAGCATAGACAGCATAGTAGTTATATTATATTTATTTTATTTTAGCTGGTAGTTTTCATCGAGCTTCGATTTCATCTATTGGAGCGCAAAGAAAAGGAACTAACATATGTACTTCTTTAAGTGTTTCCATAACTAAAGAAATGATTGAAGGTAGATCTGCTCTTCTAAAAATTATTTCATCTCTTCTTTATTTATCTAGACAAGGTTTAGCGATTCGTGGCCACGTTGATATAAACTCAAACATTCAACAATTACTTATCTTACGTGCAGAAGATGTTCCCGAATTAAAAAGTTGGCTTTTAAGAACCAAGTATAAATGGTTATCTCATGATATTCAAAATGAAATATTATCTCTTTTATCTAAAGAAGTACAGTTAAATCTTATTTCTGAAATAAAAGATTCTTTTTGTTATTCAATAATATTGGATGAAACACGAGACATTTCCAATAGAGAACAAGTTTCTGTGTGCTTTCGCATCGTAGACAAGAATTTAAATATATCAGAACATTTCTTAGGATTTTTTGAAACTCCTTTTACTGACGCACAGACATTATTTAATTTAGTAATTAATGTTTTATCACAATTTGTCATTGATATTTCTAAATGTCGCGGACAATGCTATGACGGGGCAGCCAATGTCAGTGGACATATCAGTGGTTTACAAGCAAGAATAATCGACGTTGAACCTAGAGCAATTTTTGTTCATTGTACTGCCCACACCTTAAACCTCGTTGTTCAAGATACAATGCAGAATATAACGAAGATTCGAGATTTTTTAGCCATTTTACGTTCAATGATATCATTTGTTAAAGATTCACCTAAACGTCAGGCAATATTTAATTCTTTACAAGCTGAACAAAGTATAATCGGTTCTTCAAATAATGTTTCATTAAGGCCTTTTTGTCCTACAAGATGGTGTGTTAGAATTGTTTCATTAAAATCGATTGATTCAAATTATAATTTACTTCGTAAATTTCTTGATGAGCTGACTACCGAAAAAAATGAAATAGGTGCTAAGGCTAGTGGGTTTTCGAAACTACTTTATAAATTTGATTTTTATTTCGTTTTGCAAATTATGATATTCATTTTTGAGAGAATAGAAGTTTTGAATTCGGAACTACAAAAAAAATCTTTGCATTTCCAAGATGCAAGGTTAAAAATTGAGGCAATAATAATTTCTATAGAAGAAAAACGAAAATCAGGTTTTGACCAATTATTGGAAGATATTATCTATAAATCTGAAGAGCTAGGTTTAGGTGAAGTTAAGCTACCTAAACAAAGAAAAACTCCAAAACGTCTGATCGAAGGGGGTCAAGAACATTACTTTTCGTCGGCTAAAGATCAGTATAAAGCGCTATTTTTTGAATGCATGGATATGACGCTATCTGCTCTGCACAACCGATTTAAAAGTAATGTAATTAAACATCTCGCAAAAGTAGAAAACTTTATTGTAGATCCTAAAAAAATAAATACAGCTATTATAACTGAATACTATGGCTCCGATTTCGATGGGAGAAAATTAGAATTACATCGAAATATAATGTTAGATATTGCTAAGGCAAAACATTTTAAAATATCATCAGTGTCAGATGCGATTAATTGTTTTAAACAAGAGTCTTATTTGCAAGATTTAGTTCCAGAAGTGGTTAAATTAATTAAAATCATGTTAACCGTACCAGTTTCATCATGTACAGCTGAGCGTTCTTTTTCTGCACTTCGGCGTTTAAAAACATTTTTAAGATCGACCATGACGTAAACACGGCTTAATGATGTAGCATTATTAAATGTACATAAACAAGAGGAAATAAACATTGAAGTTATTGCTAACAAATTTATAAAGGCAACCAAAGTCAGGCAAAATACATTTCAGATTTGTTAGAAAATTTTAGATTGTAATATATTCTAAAACTTTATATTTTAACATTTACATTACAAAAAGATTATTTTTTTTATTTGCTTACCTTATACATAGACTGTCTATGTAAACTGTCTTTGTCTATGATAGACACGTCATAGTACATACAAATAAAAAAGTTATTAAACAAGTTAACAAGTAATACTTTGTTGTATTTTTTTTTATATATTTTGCTTATTACCTACTTAAATAATTTTAGGGTTTTGGGCACCCCATGAAAATTGGAAAAATCGGCGCCCATGCCAACCACCAAGGCGATGGGGTCGGGGTGTGCTACACCAGCAATCAGCGCAGCACTGACCGTCCGTACAACACCAACAACACGCGGCGCCAAACAGAGCACAACCCCACCACGGCAAGACACCAGCTCCGTACGGCCACAGCGGAACGTGATGTGGGTGATACCGGTTCGGGACGTCCGCTAGTGCCCAGGATGCCACCGGTGGACCCGCACCCACCGACGACGGAGTGGACGGGGATGCCGAGCTGCGTGGCATACGTGCACCGCCTGCCGACGCCACCACCTGCACCTCCATCCGACAAGCCAGGACCACTGGAGCCCTGGCCAAAGCCCGCGAAGCCAGCCACACCAGCAACATCCAAGCGGTCGGCAGAACGGGCCAAGGAGCGGAGGAGAGAACACCAGCGGCAGAGGAGACTGCGGGCAAAAGCCGAGAGGGAAGGCCCGAGTCAGCAGTACCGGTTGACGAAGGCGACTCCCTCGGCAGGGCCGACCACCGACCCGGAAGGTCGAGAGACGGTGCAGGTGTCAGCACCGGTACCAGGTAGTTCCGCCCAGGAACACTTACCGGAGCAAGACACCAACCCGGGGGAGGCGATGGAGGTCGATGACCGAATCCTCGACGAACCCGGGTCACCACTCCCAACATTCCCGGACATCGAGGAAGGCCCGCCCGTGTTCTCCACACCGCTCACGTCCTCCAGGACGGACTAGACACCACGGCTGGATACGACCCGTCTACCATAGACTGGACATCGTCTCCACGCCTCGGCGTCCTTCCCTCCACGCCTGGGGGACACCACAACGAAGGTACAGTTATTCGGTGACCCGACCCAATAAGTCCGGACATCGCCGACGGACGAACCTCCATAACAGTCACGGAGAAATAGCGTACCAAACTGAAGCAGTACCGCGACTGGCGGTTTGGCGGGGGAGTATGACGCGGACCCGTGCGGCAGCCGTTACCGAAACGGCAGTCGCCGACCGTGTCCTTATCTCTCTCATCAACCACCACTTCGCGGCACGCAACGTCGCAGCGACACCCCGTCCACCCATCCATCACCAGACAAGGGACGCGAGCGGTCGCTACGACGTCCGACAGGTACCACCACGTAACCGGGCTGTTATTCCGATACCGTGTACGGAGACACATCTCTTCACGCGTTATTCGTCAATCTTTTTGTTATAAATAACAACCATTGTGACCATTTTTTTTTTATTCGTGTAATATACACCTCATAAGATCAGTGCGGTAATACAGTGTATTATTATTATTATTATTCTTACTATACCATTCACAAAACGGTACCCATCGCACCAGCGACACGTGCGCACCCACCACCGTTATCGAGTGTGCCGCGTCACCTTTTATCGAGACATTTCGTAAAAATTGCTTATTGACAGAACCCGAAGAATTTAATTCAATTGATGAATTTATTATTCCATTCAAAGGTCGTAGTAATTTAAAACAGTATAATAAAAATAAGCCCCACAAATGAGGATTTAAAGGTTTTGCACGTTGTGGTATTATGTATGATTTTCAAATTTATACTGGAAAAAATACAACTAAGTCAGAACTCGGTATAAGTGGTGACATCGTAAAAACTCTTGTTGAAAATATACCAAGACACAACAGTTATAAAGTTATATTTGATAATTGGTTTAGTTCCTATAAATTAGTTCGTAAACTAAAAGACAATGGTATACACACGTTAGGTACAATTAGATCGAACCGTGTATCTGGTTGTAATTTACAAAACGATAAAATAATGAAAAATAATGGTAGAGGCTCCCATGACTACCTTACCGACGCGAATTCAAATATTATATTTTTAAAATGGTTTGATAACAAACCTGTACATTTAATTTCGTCATCAGGGGCGGCTCGTCAGGGGAGACTTTGAGACTGCGTCTCCCCTTAAAAATAAACTAGCTACTTGTAAATAATATAATTAATTAAAAATAATAATGTATAGAAATATTTTCATTTGTATTTAAAATATATTATTATATCGTTTTCATTGTTTATTATTATATTAAATTGAAAGTGACAAAATCGAAAACCTATTAATAGCTATTTCGATAGAAATAGCTATTTTAGTCATTCTGCGGGTAATTACGGCTCATTACGACGGTCACCAGTTCAATGAAACTGAAGCCCGTCAATTGCAAACGTAACATGTAATGACATGGCTAGTTGGTCGGAGGGAGCCGGGGAGAATAAGCTGCGTATCATAGACGCTTTTGAACCTGGGTTCACGACAGTAATTGCCGTGCCGCTGCGCCGTGTAGCTCGTGTTCAATTATTTTTACTAGCTTTAGACGTTTTATTCACGGTTTATTAATTATTTAATAATTATTATACATATATCCGTCTAACATTTATTATTAAATTTTACATTTATATAAGCATTTCAGCATTTGTTCATATTTTAAAATGCAAAAAGAAAATATAATAGAATTTTTACTAACCAGTGGTTTTAATGCTTTAACATACGAACAAAAAAATCAAATTAAACTTAATCGCCCAACTCCTTATTTATTATTAACATGTCAAGACGGTAAATATATTAGAACATTTCAAAAGAATTGGTATAATAAATTTCCATGGCTTACTGGTTGTGATAAACGAAATAAAGTGTTTTGTTTTACTTGTGTAATATTTGGAGGGGAAAAGGAATGGAGTGTTAATGGATTGTATTCAATAAAAAATTTTTTAAGGAAATCAGAAAAACACGCCATTTCCCAAAAACATTTAACTAATCAAGAAAAATTTCATCTATTGGGTAAAGTCCGAATTGAACACGTGATTTCAGAAGGTCGACGACTTGCTGCTGTAAAACATAACGAACAGGTCGGTATAAATAGACGTTTAATAGCACGTATGATACATGTTGTTTGTTTTTTGGGCAAACAAGAACTTGCTTTTCGTGGCCACCGGGAAAATAATGAATTTTTAAATAAGGGGAATTATCTTGAATTACTCGAGCTACTGGCTCAAGAAGAGCAGTTGCTTAAAGAGCACTTATTGTCATCGGCAATATTTAAAGGGACATCTAAGATGATACAAAATGATTTGATTGAATGCGTTACTTCCGTTTTGAATTCAAAAATTTTTAATGAAATACAAAGAGTTAATTACGTATCTATTCAAGCAGATGAAACGACTGATGTATCGTGCCGATCCCAAATGAGCATAATTTTTCGGTATGTTGTAGAACAAAAAATTGTAGAACGATTTATTGGTTTTTTTGACGTTTCAAAGAATAAAACAGCCTTTGGATTAGCAGATATAATTTTATCTGAAATTAATAAGTGGAAAATTGGAAATAAAATTATATGTCAGACCTATGATGGTGCATCGGTTATGTCGGGAGAAAAAAGTGGTGTACAATTTCTTATAAGGCAAATTTATCCAAATACATTATTTATTCATTGTTACGCACATCAGTTGAACTTGGTATTGTTACACGGAGCGAAAACAATAAAATCAGTCAAACTCTTTATTTGCAATCTAACTATGTTCCATACGTTTTTTAGCCGGTTTACAAAAATAAGTGAGTTGTTAAGAGAACAAGGTTTTAAACTTCCAAATCAATCTGACACTAGATGGAATTATCATTCAAGAGCTGCTTTTACAATAAAAAAACATTTTTTAGACCTCAAAAATGCTGTTTTACATGTAACTGAAGAACCAGGTTGGGACCCTATATCCGTTTGTACAGCATCTGGTCTTTATGATAAGCTAAATGACGCGAACTTCGTATATTTCTTGATTTTGTTTGGCAAAGTTTTTTTATACACAGATCATGTATTTAACTTTCTCTAATTAAAATCACTTTCGAATATAAAATCTTGCATTTCTGAAATTCAAAATTTAAAAAAAAATTTGACCGATTTAAGAAATGATACAAATGTGAATAACTGTTGTGACGAAGCAATACTATTAAATAACAATTTAGAGTACGAAGACAAAAAACGAAACGAATTACGTAAAATTACATATGAAATTCTAGATTCATTAATCGTCCAAATTAACATACGATTTGAAGATTTTCCAAAAATAGAGTTTGTAGAAATTGTAAATGATAAAATGTTTAAAAGCTACTACACTCAATTTCCTGAGGCAAAGTTCATCAAGTTATTACAGCAGTACCCTAATACTTTTGATGCAGATCGTTTACGCAATGAATTGGCTGTAATTTATGCGGATGATAAAAAACATTTGCCTCCTCATGAACTCCTAGATTTTATAATAAAAAGTAAGTGATAATAATAAATTCATTCAAACTAAATATCATTAATTTTCATATTATATTTAATTTTTCCTTTGAAATTCACAGGTGATTTACATTAAGATATTTATCCTCAGGTGACTAAACTTTGTCAGTTAGTGTTAACTATTCCATCTACGACAGCTTCTAGTGAACGGTCTATGAGTACATTAAAACGTATCAAGACTTTTCTTAGAATCACAATGATTGATGATCGGCTTTCAAGTTTATCATCCTTGACGATTGAAAAAAATCTTCTGGGTGATATGGCAAAGGATCCAACTTTTGTAGACAATGTTATTGATGAGTTTGCAGATAAAAAAGATCGAAGAATTGAATTAGTTTATAAACAAATTTAGTATTAAATTAAGTTAAAAATATTAATTAAATATTAAATGAAATAATAATATTTAAAATAATTCATTTTTTCAATAAAAAGGTTTTTCTTGTTCGTTGTTATTTGAAATTTATGTTATATAATTTAAGTCTCCCCAGAATATTTACTCACGAGCCGCTACTGTTCGTCATATGTGGGCGTTGAACCAATGGATATGGTAAAAAAATGGTCTGTAAAGGATAAGAAACATATTCAAGTCGACCGTCCAGCCGTTGTGAAAGAATATAACAAGCACATGAGAGGCGTAGACTTAATGGATATGTTAGTTGAGTTATATAGAATAGATATAAAAGCTAAACGATATTATCTTAGAATAATATTTCATTTAATAGATATAGCTGTTGTAAATAGTTGGTTATTATATAGAAGACACTCCTCTATAAAAAAAACGAAATACATTCCGCTTTTAGACTTTCGGTCGCAAATTGCACTAGCACTTATTCAGTCAGATAAAACACCTACTAGGAAACGTGGAAGACCCAGTGAAGGAAATAAATTGCCCACCACCAAGACACCTCGAATTCAAAGGCCTGTAGATGATGTTCGTTATGATCAAATAGGTCATATGCCTGTCCCTATTGACGAAAAGCAAAGATGCAAACATTGTATCACATCTAAAATTAGATTTAAATGTATTAAATGCAATTTACCACTGTGTATAAATAAAAATAAAAATTGTTATCTTGATTTTCATACTAAATAGTAAATAATATATATAATATAAATAGTAAATAATATACAGTTGTTATTTGATTTAAATTTAAATTATTTATTTTTTATTTGTTTTATTTTATTTTCTGTTAACAAAAAGTATATATTTTGTTAAAATTTTTTTTGAGGGTTAATTTATTTTATATTATGTAACAAGATAAGTGTTTTTCATTTTGTTTTATTTTATTTTATGTTTGAAAGTAGTACTACAAAAGTTAAGTTAAAGAAAGAGATTTATGATTATACCTATTTAGTAATGTTATACATAAATTAAATTTACATTCACGATGTCCAATGGGTCCAATTGGACCCGTAATGAAAATTACCCCGGA